CCTCAGCAGAAGAATGGTAGTGATTGTGGTGTGTTCGTATGCAAATATGCTGATTATATCTCCCGAGGACGCAACCTCACATTCAGACAGGTACTTTGTGTACACTCACACACTAACACATGCATATTAATACATGTCTCAATAATTTATGCATCTCTCTCTCTCTCTCTCTCTCTCTCTCTCTCTTTCTAGAATCATATGCCGTATTTCAGGAAAGCTATGATCTGGGAGATCCTCAACCGAAAGCTGCTGCAGTAGGAGCATTGGGAATGTCGTACTGACTGAATCAGATTGACCAAAGCACAGGACCACCATTCGTCTGTCCCTTCTGCTCTTTTCTAGAGACATTTGGCTTTATATTGGCCTGTTGCAAAATTCCACCCAATTTTTCTAACAGACTGGATTGCTGGTTCCAGGCTGGGTTTGTTTGCACTAATAACCAGTCCCTACTGTACGAATCCAAACACTAGAAGCGCAAATATGAGCAGAACACTGGACTGGGGTGTGAATAGATCTGAGCAGGTGAAAGCCTCATTAGCATTTGTTGTGAGGCTGGAATTGTTCTCATTCCAAGAATGTAGTCTTATCGCCCCCTACTGGTTATACTGTGAGACTTTCCCAACTCACAGAAGTAGCTGTTGATGTTCCCATGTTTAGTTACGAAGGGGACTAAAGTTACAAAATAGACCTTATTTTCAGTAAGAGTTTCTTGCCGTGGGGATGTTTTAGCAGTTACGTATCTCTTTTTACATCATATGTGCATTAATAAGGAATGATAAGCATATTTATTTTGTTTGAATGAGATGCACCGATGTCAGCTTAGTATGTCAAGACTTCTGTGTTTTAAAACCTACAATGTTGTCAGAGCATCCTAATAGCAAGGTTTGATGTGCATGGTGATGATGGCGCTTGCACTGAAAGCAACAGTATTCAGTGGATCTCTTGTTTCTTTTGTGTCTCTAAATAGTCCTGGCCTCCAAGTGCCTTGTTGCCAGAGCATCTCATATTTTAAAGCCATTAAAATATTTTGGCTTCACACCTGTTTCTGGAGCATCTGAACATGCTTGTTTTATAGTTATCTGTGTGTAGGAAAGCAACAGAGCTTAACAGAGTTGGATGACTAGGAGGGGAATGCAGTGGTCTTGTTGTTTTAGATTCTATATGTTCATAATCCCAATGGCTGTATTAGACATTAATATTGAACTGGAAATGTGGAACAGTGAAGTTGTGCCAAACGGACATTTGGGTGGTTCATTTCTGCAATATTCCTCTCATCCAGAAACGCAGGATCAAAAAGTGCTTTAATTCTGACTTGAAGTAAAAAAGAAGAAAAATGGTCTATATTTATTTGTTCCTATGTGGCTCTTCGCTTGAGTGCATATCCTGGAGTGGACTTGTTTGTGAGAATGGAGAGTGTTTGGATTGGTAGTGGGTGAGCTGGCTCTGAGCTGAGTTCTGATGCAAGCTTTAATATAGAAAATGAAAAGGCCCACTGCATATGAGCCGTTTTTGTCATTAATGCAGAATGTTGGTCATTATTTTTGTAAGTAATAAAGATGTGAATGAAAAAAACATGTCTTCTGTCTTCCAGTGAGAAAGTAAGTCACCCACTAATATAGCTACTAAGGTCAAATTCAAGACCACACAAGAAGTTGTGAAACATTTTTAATTGGCAAAGTATAATATACAGCAATTAATAACATAAATTACAAACATTTAATGGCCAATTTGGTTACACCACTGTTCAAATGTTTGGGGTGAATATTAGCTCTAAAGGGAAATGTATATAAATACTATTAATTATGATTAATTACAATTATTTATATTAGCTGCCAGTAGTAACTGTAGCAGAATTAAATTGCCATCAACTAATCTGTTTGTCCAGCGAACATCCGGTGTAATTTCATATCAACTCTTAAGAAATTCTATTTTCTTAGCCACGGAAAATACATTTCTTACAGTACTGCTTTAGAGCATGTAGCTAGATCGACAGGCATTGACAGGACCAAAAACTCATTAACTAAGCACTAACAGAACTAATCTAAACAAGCAAACATATAATCACTCATACATGGGGGAAGGGCAAGTGAGACTGGATGAATGAAACCGTTAGAGCAGGGGTGCCCAAACTCGGTCCTGGAGGGCCGGTGTCCTGCAGAGTTTAGATCCAAGTCCAACCCCAATTAGACACACCTGAACCAGCTAATCAAGCTCTTACTAGGCATACTAGAAACCTCCAGGCAGGTGTGTTGAGGCAGGTTGGAGCTAAACTCTGCAGGACATCGGCCCTCCAGGACCGAGTTTGGGCACCTCTGCGTTAGAGAAACAGGATGAAGCAGGAGTATGAAAAGGAGTCAGTTAATCATTCAGAGTCAACGGAATCTACAGCTTATACTGAACCTCTCGTTTTGTTTAGTTAAATGTACGATACTTGAATTGCCTTATTCATTGAAAGTCTTGGTGGTTTGAAGGTTTGGTGGTGTTGGAATTGTGATCACGTTCTTCCGGGTTTGAATGGTGATGAACTCCAAAGATGTTATTCTGACTCGGTGGTGATTGGGAGAGTTTACTCAAAAGTGAAGAGTGAAAACATGGCTGTAGTCGAGGCCTGCCAGGTGCGCTGGCCCAGCGAAAGATGGGAAGGTGATGAGACAAGAGACTAGAAGCAAGCCTTTTAAGTTATGTGGAGGTCACACCTCAGGGGGATCAAAGAGCCAATGGTGTCTTGAACTTTTGGAGGGAAAGTTTACAACTCTTTGTTTTCAAGCATGGTATTTTGCATATGTAACTGGATTGGGTGTTGATGCAAAAACTCTTAAAGACTGTTAGAACACTAATATGTTGCATAGGTATCAACATATAATATAGAATCTCATTTAGATCATCAAAAGGTGAATTCATAGATACCAAACATGGTATAGGTGAGGTTATATTAACTAGCTAGTGATTCTGTCATGACACATGCCTAAAACAGTAAACAATACCAAAGACAATATACAAGAAAGTAATACTCATAAACAAAATAGGCATGCTCATTCCTGGAAGGTTTTCTTTAAATGAGTAGGGAAGGAGTTCGTTTTTATATTTTTATGTGTCGTTTTCAGGAGGGAGCATTAAGTAAGAAGGCAAACTCCATTGGGTTGTAAAATGTATCTGGTCTGGCTGAGGTGTCCTGGTTGTTGGGTGAGGTCTGTTGGATTATTTGTTAACTATAATGAATAATTACGTTTCTCATTGGTCCAAATGCTATATATATTTATTTTTGGAAAAACAAACTCAAAAATTTGTGTGTATATATGTGTGTATGTGTATATATATATATATATATATGTGTGTGTGTGTTGTGTGTGTGTGTGTGTGTGTGTGTGTGTGTGTGTGTATAATTTATTTCTTTTTTTTCTCAAAAAAAGAAAAACTTAATGTAAAAATTCAAACCATCATGTAAAATTCAAAACTTTAAAATGTTATTTTTAAATTGTAAACATGGTAAACAAACATGGAAAATAATTAAATCAGCACATGAATTGGTGAATCCTTTAATTTTTGTTCTTGACATTCAAGTGTTTGTCATTTAAGCTCTTGATATTCCATGCTACACGATCAACAGATTAAGATATATTTTTCCATTAATCACACTATTCTGAACATATTGGGGCCAACAGGTGTCAAATAAGCACACAAATGTAACCGTGCACTATCCTGGCTTTCAGTTCACATGCTCTCTGTAAACAGTTCCATGGTGTCCTGTTCACGGGAGACAACACTGTCAGCGAAGCACTTCCTGTTCTGCGATCACGTGATCTACAGGCTAATTTATTGATAGGCCTGAATTATTCAGACAGCACAGTATGTTCAAAAATGTAGCAGCTGGTCTACATGTGATGAAATAAATATCTGCTCTAGCTTTTTGCCCTAAATGATCTGTTATCTTGTCGATTTGCATCTGGATATGCAAGAAACACCATCTTAAAACTGATATAAATGAACATTATGGACAATATGTAAACAAAGCGATACACAATTAGCACCAAGTATTGTTTCTGAGATAAGTCTTTTTAGTTTGCATTATTATTATTATATTGTATTATGTGTATATTACTGATTTTCAATTATTAGAGTCACAATGTGTATACCAGTCAAAACTTGGGAATAATTAAGATTTTTTTTCATGAATGTTTTTAAATGAAGTCTCTTATGTTCACCAAGGCTGCATTTATTTGATCAAAAACAAAAATAAAAACAGTAATATTGTGAAATGTTATTACTATTTAAAATGAACTGTTAACTCTTTTTATATATATTTCTTAAAGTAATTTATTCCTGTGATGGCAAAGCTAAGACTTCAGTGTCACATGATCCTTCAGAAATCATTCTATGTGGATTTGGTGCTCAGTTATTAATAATGGCTCTTACAATTATAAATGCTGAAAACAGTTTTTGCTGCATAATATTTTTTTGTGGAAACAGTGATACTTTTTTCAGGATTATAATAGAAAGTTAAATGAACAGCATTTTTTTCTGAAACAGAAATCTTTAACATTTTAAATGTATTAAATTTCACTTTTGATTATTTGTGTCCTTGCTGAATTAAAATATTAATTTCTTCTTCTTCCTTCTCCTTCTTCCTTTACTCAAACTTATGAACTGTATTACACTTTGTTTCCACAAAAATATCAAGCAGCACAACTGTTTTCTATATTGATAATAATCAGAAATGTTTCTTGAGCTGTAAATCAGCATATTAGAATGATTTCTGAGCAAAAACAGTGATATTGTGAACTTATTATTATTCATAATTTTAAAATAACTTTTCTGTTTTAATATATTTCAAAATGTAATTTATTTATGTGATGGTAAAACTGAATTTTCAACAATCATTACTGCAGTTTTCAGTGTCACATGATCCCTCAGAAATCACTAATATGCTGATTTGGAGCTCAAGAAACATTATAAGTGTTTAAAACCATTGTCCTGCTTATGTTTGTGGATACAGTGTTTTTTTATGATTCTTTGAGGAACAGAAAGTTCAAAAGAACAGCATTTGAATATTTGAAACAGTAATTTTTTTGAAACATTTTTGTCTTTATTGTCACAATTTAATGCATCCTTGCTGAATACAAAAATTAATTTCTTTAAAAAAAAAATCGTACTGACCCCAAGACAGAACACTACTATGAAGTCATTTAGTGCTTACCTAGACGTCCATCAAGACGCACATAAAGTTCTAGCACACTGAATGCTATGGTCGTGTGGGCTGGAATTACAATGGCTTTATCTCGACCTTTAGGGTTTCGACCATCATCTATCTGAAACTGTGTGAGAAGATTCAGAGTATCAGAGAACAACAGACTTTACCGACAAATATACTATTTGGTGGCCACACTTGCATTTGTTTACCCTCATGGTAGTTCCTCGCACTCCAGCGTGGACGGTGAGGGAACACTGTCGCGTGGTGCGGATACTCTCCATGACAACACACAGGACAGTCCGCCCACTCTCTTTGGACTGATGGATCAAACAGTGATCCAGGTCAACTTTCCTGATAGAAAAAGTAGTGAGAGGAGAATAGACAAAAAGATTTGTGAGAAAAAGAATGAGAATTCAGTGATTCTTTTCATCAAGTACTCAAGAGTGCTGCTGTTCTGAATATTTGCATGGCTGCAGGTATCACAGCCTCGGCCAATATTTCGAAGCCAAAGTTATCATAACTTAAATTTGAGACACAATTTTGCCTGTTATTTTGTCAAGATTGAGAGCCCATAAAGAACATGTTAATGGAAGTAATATTATGAGAGGAAAAACTGTATTTCAGTTCTTTTGCAGATTTATTTGCTCAGGGAAACACAAAAGCTTACCAAGCAAATGTAGAGTTTCTTGGGAGTTGTGGGAACGCAAAGGTTTTGTGAGAGTGAACTAGGCAAAATTAGGCCTACTTGGGGGAACTAACACAAATTTTTTGGGAAAAAAAAGAAAGAAAATTTACTTGGGAATCAAGGAAACATAAAAGTTTTACAAGTGAACCCCACATTTTTGTGAGCGAATTCAAAGTTTCTTGATAGTCAAGGGGAATGCAAAATTTAGTGAGCAAACCCAAAATTTTTGTGAGCGAATGCAAAGTTTCTTGGTGGAATGCAATACTTTGGAGAGAGAATGCAAAAGATTTATGAAGGGATGGCAGCAATAGCCTAGTGGGCAAATAAGCTAACATATAACGCTGTTGTGTTTCAATCGTCCTGAGCTCGAATCTAGGCTCGAGGACATCTCATGATCCCGCCCCTCCTCTCTTTCTCCCTCCCACTTCTCTTCCTGTCTGTTCTCCACTGTGGTATCATAATAAAGGCAAAGCACCAGAAAAGAAGTCTTAAAACATTTTTGTGAAAGAATTTTTGGAGCAAAGCAAAAGGTTGGCAAGCAAATATGCAAAGTTTCCTGAATGAATATTGGTTGAGTGAATGGGTCTAGCTCTTTTATAAATAAAGTCACTTGTCGCCACCTATTGGCCTAACCAATGTAACCTGTCTGTGCAAAAGTGGAGTGATATAAACAGTGAACATTCCTATAGCTGTTGGTCCAAATACCAGCTCTCAGACAATTTTTGAGGGATGGAACTAACTGTTGTATATATAAAAATATGCACACAGTGTTTTTTTGTTTTTTTACCTTGCATTGAGTTCTCTCAGTAATGTTGGAACCTCCACCTCATGCTTGGTCACAATTCCAAATGAGGCCTTTACTGCCACAGAATCTGAACCACTCACGTTTACTCCCACCTCATGGATCAGATGGTTGCCCAAACGCCCATTAAGGGCAACATCAGACTTGTCCTCATAGTTCAGGAGCTGATATGAGGAGACCCCTGTCAAAAATAGTGAAGGTGACACACTCCTCTAATACCACTTGCAGTATCCACATCATGCAAAAAACACCTTCATTCATAACAAAAACTACTGTATACATAAAATTAAGTGTTTTATGCATTTTGTAAGTAAAATGACACAAACATGCACATAAAATTCTACATGGATGTTTGATTGAATGTTTACAGGACTTGTTCATCTATACTCATCTAGCTATTTTATATCAAATTATTAAATATTTCTAACTCACCTGCTGTGATCTCTTTCTCTCCCACGAGTATGTCTTTCAGTGAGAAAGGGGTTGTGGCATATTTGGTCTTCTTCCAGAAATGTCGTCTCCTTTTCCTCGTCACCAGACTTAGGGGTTGATATCGGTCCGCTTCACTTAGACTGGGCACAGGGACTAGGCGTCCAGTGTTCCCCACCTGCTTCACAAAGTTTTTAGTTGCAGCCGCAAACATGACTGTAGTTCACCGAAGCTTGAGCATATCGTTACTGTGTATGTTCATTCAGAGTAGTTTGAATTTGAGTTGGTTCTAGCTGTGGCAACATACCTGTTCGAGGCTAAATGAGAAGCAGAGGTGCTGCTTGGGTTTGTCCAACCAGATCATCAATAATAAAGTGGCTGTAAGCTGATCAGGGTGTTCTCTGCCATATGTGTAGTGTCTTACCGAGTTCAAATAATAGTCCTGACACCATCACATCTGTTATAAGTAACTCATTCTAAATTAGAACATACATTGTAGTTAAGTTTAAAGTGAGTATAATTATCTTGTTAATGCTTGTTCAGTATTGTTCCATTTTATTTTGTAAACAGAATATAATTAGCTTGATTGTTCTGTAATTACCTAGTTTACATTACTTGTAATGAGGTTTTTAATGTATACAGCATTGCAGATCTGATAACCTTTTTGTATAGCATGATAAGGTCAAACCAGTTTACATGAGCCATATTTGTGGTATTATATGACCAACAGTTTATTTTATTGGTAACACTTTAAAATAAGGTCCCATTTGTTAACAGTTAATATGAACTAACAATTAAAAATAGTATTTTTTTTTAAATCGTAGTTCATGTTAATTAAAATATTTACAAATGCATTATTAAAATCTAAAGTTGTATCTGTTAATATTATTTAATGGATCTAAGCTAAGATGAACTAACAACGAACAGTTGTATTTTCATGAACTAATGTTAAAAAAGATTAAGTTAATGTTAAGTAATGGGACCTTTCTATAAAGTGTTACCATTTTATTTTAGTTTAGTTTAGTTTCTTTGTGTTTAGTATTTTTTTTTTTAAGTTTTGTTTTGGTTTTAGTTTTTAGTTATTTCTTGTTATATATTGACCAGTGCTGCGTTTCTCAAAAGCATCATAAGCTAAGTTGAGAGACCATTGGTGGCAATAATTCTATGATCTACTTAGGGTAGATCATAGAATTGCATAGAATTGCTACCCAATGCTTTTGGGAAATGCAGCCCAGATCAACTTCAGCCAGAGAAATAATAAATTATTCAAAGTAGAAAAGAAACAACATATGCAAGAGATAAATCATGTTTTACCAGAATAGCATCTGAAGAATAACAACTTCTGCTTTGAGTTTAAACTATTTTAAGGTCTGTTATATTTAAGATGAACCAGAAAATCTACAATCCGTGAAGATGTATAAAGTCTGGTGTTGAAGAGATTCACATAAAATGTAAAATAAACTGTGGTTTAAAATGACTAAAAGATGTTTCTCACCTTATAACCAAACCAGGATCCCTTATACACTAACAAAGCATGTGGATACTTTATACTGTGGTGGAAGTGAACCTGTATGTCTGCATAAAGCAGTTTGCTAGAATATGTTTATTCTGCAGCGTACAAGGTTCTTTTGGCTAAAATGTATTTACGTAATGACTCATTCATTCGTGACCTCATGTGGTTCCTCCACTGAGGTCCGTTACTGTTGAAGGCACACTGGTAAAACATTAATGGAGAAAAAGAGCTTTTGTAAAGAGTTGTTTATAGTTTCTAGAACACGGTCTGTAGTAATACATTGTGATTGCGGCCAAGAACATCCTGAGGTCACCGTGTTAGTGAGGCAATTATGACGATAAGGTGGGAGAATGTTTGCAATGGGAATAAACTTCTTCATTTAGAACTGTACAAACAACTGTAATGACATGAATAAAGGGGAAACAGTCTAGCAACCTATATTTGTCTTGAAGTAATTTGCCTTCTCAGATGCAGAAAGATTTGTGCAATTAGGCTGGCCGAGTATGAATGGCCTATCCTGTACTGGTTTCAAACTGAACCCTCACCCACAAAAGTTTCTTTAGAGGTACATAGCCTATAATTCTGTTTTTAAAAAGATAGTTCACACAAAAATTGACATTTTGTCATCATTTACTCATGTTGTTCCAAACTATGAATTTCTTTCTTCTTTGGAACACAAACGTTTTGTCCAAAAAATAAAAGACAATAAGGGGCTAATGTGCATTACAGTTGAAAGTTTGGGGTCGGTATAAAATTTGTAATGTTTTTGAAAAAATTATCTTATGCCCACAAAGGCTGCATTTATTTGATAAAAAAAAATACAGATGAAACATTGAAATGTTATTACAATTTAAAATGCATTATATTCCTGTGATGGCAAAGCAGAATTTTTTAGCAGTCATTACTTTTCAGTGTTACATGATCCTTCAGAAATCATTCTAATATGCTGATTTGGTGATCATAAATCTTGAATCTCCTTTGAATTCTTTGAATAGAATGTTAAAAAACAGCACTTATTTGCAATGGAAATCTTTTGTAATATAACATTATTGACACTTTTGATCAATTAAATGCATCTTTGCTGAATAAAATCATTAATTTCTTTCAAAAAAGCCCAAACTTTTGGACCCCAAACTTTCAAATATTAGTGTATAAAAAATTATAAACAGTTACACTAAAACCTTATTGTTATATGACATTTAAATTACATATAAATTGCATATTAAATTACATATTAATAGTTCTTTGTTCGTGACCTTCATCAGCTCATTGCATTACAGTGTGAAAGACTGATAGGAATATCTCATGTTAATGAGTTTTAACTCATGAATATTAATGAGAGTGTTGACTAATTCATGCTTACTGGCTTATCACATGGTCATGCTTTATCACTTTATGCATTCAGGTGCAATCTAAGTGTCAACTGCAGGCAACATACAGAGCTAATAAATGTATATTTTAATCTTAAATGAACTGTTTTGTGTTTTACTTGGAAACAATTTTCACTGAGAAATTGCTTATGAAGTTCACAACGAAGAAATGGCAAGTAATACATTGAATTAAATGTGAACTTTTGAAGTAGAAAGACTGAAATATTACTTTTGTAAAACCTACTACAATAATCGTTGTTTTATTCATGACTTTACAGTGTGGTTATTCTATAATTAAAGCCAATTGTTGTCTGGTGAGTGATGCTAGTGAGCTTTCAAGTGTGATACATGATGCATTCTGCTTCATGTTCTTCATAAGTGTGCATCATCTTAGAGCAGACTAGAGACTAGAGTTATTTTTGCTCCAGCTAGATGAGAGGCTGCAGAACCACAGGGCGGGGGTGCACAGGCTGCCTGGAGTTTCATACAGGAGCATCTGCGCAGAGACTGGCAGCTGCGCTCTCGGGTAGAGTGGGCATCTTGTGGAGCGTATGTTGAAGCTGTGATTTTTTCATAGTCTACCTCCTGTGGCAGGCACGGGCAAGGTCTGCGCCTCCTTGTTGTGAAAATGACCGCAGCTCATCACCTCAGGATACCTGTATGGCTGGGGATCTGTTTGGCCCAGGTGTTATTGATCACATGCCAGGATGTCAAGACCGGTGAGTAACCTGTCTCATACTTCACTAACCTGACACAACAGGTGAAGAGCGATACTCTGTATATCAGTATGCACAGCTGTAGTATTTGATGTAAATATGTAAGAAGTGCTTGAAAGAGGTCAAATAAGTTACATTTACCTTGTTTACCCCTGAATAATCGTACTCTGGCTATTCATACAATGGCCTTTCTGACCTTCTTTCACTTTAATATCTGGGAAAACAAGACCACGTCATGCTGTTTTTTTCATTGCACTTAGACATTCAACTTGGGCGTCTATGGAAATGATTTATAGATTATTATGAAGATAATTAAATATGCTAAATGTTTGATTTACATTTAGACTGTTTTGTCTGGACTGTTTAAAGTGGTTTGTTCAGTTTAAAAAAAAAAAAAAAAATCTAACTGCTTTGTTTGTTTTTTTGTTTTGTACAAATCTGGTATAATTATGTAAATTATGCATAAAATATGGGTATTTTGAGTCACTTATGATAATTTGTCCTGATTTGCTTTTTCCCCCTCACCTTATTTTGAGTTTCTCCATATAAGCAGGTTACACCATACAATTACAGATTGATTCATAACTATTCCTTAATATGTGAAGGAATCTTTCTTTATTAGTATGCTTTATAAGAAAATACTATTTCAGTCTTTCTACTTAAAAATTTTACATTTAATTAAATGTGCCGTTTCTTTGTAATTATTTGTGAAATTTACTAGAAATACCTGAGTGAAAATTGTTTTAAACTAAATCCTACACTAAGTTTTTTATTCAGTGTACTAGTTTAGGATGTACTAACTCAATGCTTAAAATTATAGTTTAAAACCCAAAATTGAAACTCTGTCATCCTTTACTCACCTCATGTTGTTTTAAGCCCGTATGACTCAGTGTCCATGCACTTTTTTATTTTTGGAAAGCCCTCATTTAGTGTTCCACAGAAGAAAGAATGTCATACAGGTATGGAACAACATTAGTATGAGTAAATGATGACAGAATTTTCATTTTTGGTTAAACTACAACCTAATTCATCCTATTAAATGTGATCAATAGTAATGGATGTTGGCAACACACCACAGTAAAGACGTTGTTTTAGTCCCATTTATGTTATGAACAGAATTAAAAAGGATATGAGGTGGTGGAATAGCCATATTTCCAAAGCAAGTTAATGCTGTTGTAAGGAAAGACCTTCATAACAGGCTTTACTCTAACAGCATCCTTCCCTACTAACTAGCACAATTTGAATTTCTAATTTAATAGTAAACTGGCAAGCTGAATTATCCCGATCTTCTGCTTTGTCAGCTCTATCTGAGTTGAAGACATAATTTCATGGCCTTGCGAGTAATGATGTGAGGTTTTCACAGACCAAAGCTGGCCACCAATTGTGGTCAAAGTTCTTCCCAAAAGAGATGCTAGACACACCCAATCATGTGGCAAATGCGTTTGCCTGAAATCCAGCTGTGATGTTTTCACATTCACTTAGGTTAGTCACACTACAGATCAGGTGAAGCATTGTTGGGTAGCTCAGCAGGAATCGATTCAGAGTCAAAATTGACATTGAATTCAAAACCTTTGCACAGTGAATTGATGCGATGACACTCATAGTCTAAAGGGATACCAAAAATGAAAATTCTGTCATCATTTACTCACCCTCAAGTCAAGTTGTTTTAAACTTCTTTGAGTTTCTTTCTTCTGTTGAAGATATTTTGATGAATGTTGCTAACCAAACAGTTGCACATTGACTTCCATATGGAAAAAAAAAAAAAGACACACTACAGAAGTCAATGGCTACCGTCAACTTTTTGGTTACCGACATTCTTCAAAATATCTACTTTTGTGTTCATCAGAAGAAAGAAACTCATACAGGTTTGTAACAACTTGAGAGCGAGTAAATGAGTGACAGAATTTTCATTTTTAGGTGAACTTCCCCTACTGTACATCAGTCTGGTCTAATATACAGTACATACAACAACGTGTATGACCTTCTCACAGTAATTATCCCACATGGGGACACGTCATGACCCTTATGAGAGCCAGCTTGTAATGTTTTATGAGAGGGAGGGTGTTATGTCAATCACAGGGTCTGAAATACAGGGTCACTTGCAGAGAAAACTGTTTGCTCCAATATGACAAATACAAAGTCCATTCTATACATGAAAATATAGTAAAGAAATGTACATTCCAAAGAGGATATTTTTGTTAAAAACTTCAGACAGAGGGCGTGCCTTTTCACTTTGACAGAAATAAAAGTTAGCCACAGACTAAAGTTAAGCATAACCTATAATAGAGGCTGCTGTGGTTTCCCCAAAATAACGTATGTGCTTTTCCACTAAATTGGTACTTACTTTCTTTTCAGAATAGTGCTTTAAAAAAGGCCAGTTTCATACAGATGAATAGTAGCAGGTGTCCTGCTTCTAGTAGTTTTACTGCTTCAGTGCCACTGACAATACTGAAAATAATGTACATTTAATATTATTTTAGGCTTTAATTTAAGATGATGACTTTAGACATTGCTATGAAATAGTGAAGCTTAGACAGGCATTAAGCAGACTGAGTGGACCGGAAATTCCATCATGCTCATGAGACCAAGCATAATATTTAGCCATTATATTTTAATGCCCATTTGCAAATTACATTTGGGGAAAACTACTTCAAAGTGATAAGGTTCAGCATTCAGCAGTTGCTGTATTAGTGGTTGAATTCTCATGTCCTTATATCATTACTACTTTTTTATTTTGAAGCTTATATTTAAAATATTGATCAATTATATTCAGTTAATTTGACTTACAAAGTCTATAATTTTCAAAAGAAAAAGTGAAGAGAAATTTCACTCAGTCTTCTTAATTGCTTGGAATGTTTTTATGACATAGTTTGGGCCTACTGAAACAATTACAGCTGTCACCAATGCCTTTGATGAAAGAAGGGGCAACAAATGTATCCTAAAATAATTCTCACCTTGCATAAATCTGTCTGCACTTCCAC